GCTCCATCCAAGGGCTGTCACCCCCAGCAACCTGGGGGGGGGGGAACAGGACCATTTCCATGTGTCACATGGGTGCAGCAGCGATGCCGATGCTGCAGGGGTGATGCCATGACCCCCCAACACCACCACCACCACCCCCCTCCTCCTGCATCCCATTTTCAGGAGCAAACAAGGAGCTTGGTTTTCCTGGGATGAAGCTGCTGTCCAAGCCCACCAGATGAGCTCAACCTGAGGCTCGAGCATCCCACGCGCCCAGCAGAGGGATGCTTTCGGGGTGCAAAGCGTTGCCCTCCCTCACTGCTCCCCGAAACCAGCATTTCTTGTACTGATTATTAATACTTGACTGGAGCCCGGGTGCTGGTGCTCTGCCAGCTGAAACCTGCCCTGCCCCTTACTGCTCACCAGGCACAAGTATGTGGCCTTGTTAAGTGGAAGAACAAACGGCGTCGGGCAAATTAAAGCAGGCAAAAAGGGGGGCTCCGGTTCCACCCCTCAATCCTCTCCCCCCGGTGCCTCCATCCCTCCATGTGCTGCTTGTGCTGTGCCAGCTAACCTGCAGGGAAAGCAGTGGAAGGGATCCAAAGAACCTGATTATCTGTTGGGTTTTTTAATGGCGACTTTATTTTTTAACCCCAATTAGATGAAGCCGCTGATTGGTTGGGTTTGGTTTGATTCGGGTCGGTTTGCTCTGTTTTATGGCGGTTTATTCCACGGTTTCGTTTGGTTTGCTCTGTTTTAGGGGGTGGGGTTTGTTCTATTTTATTCCATTTTGTTTTATCCCATTTTACTGTATTTTATTGGAGCTCCCTCTGTTTTATGCCCATGCACTGCTTGGGGTCGTGGTCCATGCTGGAGGGGAGGTGATGCTACTTTCACCCATGGATGGGGAGGGTGATTTCTCTCTCTCACATGGGACTAACCACCCTCTTTCTCTTTTAAATCGCAGACCCCCTGTAAAAATGCCTTCTTCACCCATCAGGGGAGAGCAGTGCTTATAGTCTGTCTTCACCCATCAGGTGCTTGGTTGGCTGAACCCAACTTATGGGGTTCCCCTCCAAAAATACACCCCCAAAAGCTACTGCAGTGAGGATTGAAAATGAACCCTCGTGCTTTGAAACACATCCCCCCCCCCCCCAAATCTATCAAAAAAGGTGTTTTTATACCAAGAAAACAGCGTGGTGTAGAAGAATGGGTTTATTCTTTGAATCCAAAATCCCATTAAGTTTCCAATGGGATGCATGGCCGTGGGAATGGGACCGGTTGGGGTTTTTAAATGCATTTTTTTTTTGCTGATTGTTTGTACTAAAACTGGTGACTCTGGTATTAAAATATTTCCAATCATGGGCATCGGTCTCAAATCATCTCTTTGTTCTTTCCCCTTCCAAATCTGGGCCTGTCTCTCACAAGTGACCCCGTTGCTGGGTGGAAGCAGCTTCTGCAGCACTGCCCAGGCAGGGCCATGAACATTGGTTTCCCTCCTGGGCCGATGCTGGTTAAATACTTCGGGTCTTTTGCCATGTGTTGCTCTCAAAAGGAGGGAATTTGGCCTTTAAAAGGGCTTAATTTAAGGCTAAACCCATGGCAATCCCAATACCTTGCGCTTGGTCCCTCTGCGGGGCTCTTCCCAAGGCCGAAAGCCACCAGCATCCTCCTCTGATGGACCCTCAGAGCTGGGCTCTCCCTTCCTGTCTCCCGTTTTCCATGGATCCAGAGCTGGCTTGTGCCTAATGGAGCATTTTGCTCGTTTGAGCTGATTCTTGCTTTCCCCATGGAGAGGCAGGATCCCGCTCAGCGATGCTGTGCCTGGTTTGCCTCGAGGGACAATGCTTCCCAATGGGGCTCCTGCACAGCCACTGCCTTGTGTCAGCATCCTCATCCTGCCCACGATGCATAGTCCACATATACAGCCCGTCCCACCTCAAGAGAGCAGGAATTTGGGGTGGTCGGTGCCTCCCGTGACATCTCCCCGGGTCACCCGAGGTTCTCCTTAGGGAGGGATGCTCGGGCTCAAGCACAGAAGAGCGGGGAGGGAGGGGGGGAATAGCTGAGCTGTGATAATGTGCTCGGGGGTATAAAGGCCCCCACTGTCCTCTGGACAATCCCTCGTGTGTCTGCACAGGGCAAAGCGGGATGGACGATGGGAACAGGCCGCCGGGCTCGCTGCGGGACGTGGGCTCTGCCTCCCTCCGCATCGCATCTTGCGACAACAGAGTTTTCCACCCCTCGGTACGCTCCTATTTAATAGGACCAGCGTGATGGGTAACGTTTAGGTGCCTGCTCATCCCTCTTGCGTGCATCCAAACCCCTGCGAAATAACACTAATAGGTGAAATTCCCACTAAATGAGGGAAAACACCCCATCCCAAAGACAAAATCATGGCAAACGTCACCACAACACTGAAATTCCATGTAAATAACAGTGTGGGGAAAACCCCAAATCACCTTGTTTCTTCACAAGTGATTAAATGCATTAAAACCATGCACAAATCCATCTCGGTGCCTGTTGTATTGATGTCTCTGTGGCAGCACTGCCCTGCATCCTGCTTGCACGCACAGGGGCCTTTCTCACACCTCGGAGCCACGGCTGGTTTAATTCAATGGTGCTTTTATGAAGTTTTCTCTCTTTTTACTCATTTTTACCCCCTGCCCTGCCCCGATGGCATCTGCAGGGTCCTCTCCACCTCCGTGAGACGGTCCCATCAAAGAAAACATCTTTCTTCCTTCATTTTTGGGGTGAAAACACAAAGATTCAGGTCTCCCTGTGGGGACTCTGATTTTCACCTTCATTAACCAGGGAAACAATCTTCATTATTCAATGGATCTGCCCCTCTCCCTGAATCTTTTCAAACACACACCCCCCCCCGAAAGAAAAGGTTTCAGCTGTGAACGGAGAGCTCAGATTTGAGCTGCACTAAACTGACTGTTGAGATGGGCAGACAAGGAGAATAAACCTATTCCATAGGTGTCACCGGGACACGCCGCTGCTGGCTCCTGTTGCTTGGGATCATGCCTTGGATGTCCAAGTCCTGCGAGTTCTTGAGTAACTGGTGGCAAATGAAGGAGCACAAACCCTCCCGGATGCTTTCAGCACTAATTCATCGCTGCGTGCTGAAGTGTTGGACCTGCCGTGTGCCAAAATCCCGGCACAACAGGATAACCCAGCATCACACACTTTGCCAAGAGCCCGGTGCGCTGCCAAAGCCCCGCAGCCCGGGTGCTGCAGGGGATTATCCAGAGGGAAAACAACCCGAACCTAACAACCCAAGTGCATCTCTTCAATAGAACCCATGAAACGGGGCCATGGGGGTGTGTGTTTGCCATGGCTCCAGGGGATGAGGGCGCAGCGATGCCTGGGCATGGCTGAGCCCAAGGATGCTCGGAGGGGGCAAGAAAGGGAGAGGAAGCGATTTGATTTTAGGGCCACCCCTCTGACATTCCCTGGGGTCCCAACACATCCTGCTCCCCCCAGGCAGGAACTGAAAGGTCTCATTAAAGAAGTGGGGATATTCACACAGTCGTCCCCCCTTGGGGAATGCTCCCAGCAGGTTCCCAGTTTTCCCCACGTGGTGTTCCTTGGGGAGGTTCCGTTGCCAACCTATCGCTGTGCTATCCGTGGAGCTCACAGCCATGGAAACACCTTAAATAGCCCAGCACCGCCTCGGCCAGGGGCTGCATTGCCCTGCTCCGTCCTGGGTCAGGATCGAACCCCATCAGCACTGGAAAGCCTTCAAGACACAGCCCCAGCCCTTGGCAACAGGGAGCTCTCGCCATTGATCCCACCCCAGCAAGGATGAGCCCGTGGTGAAGATAACGCTCCCCCCTCAAGCCCCCTCTTAGTGAGAACTCTATTTCTCTTCCTGTCTCTGTCTTTTCTTCCTTCTCTCTCTTTCCTTCTTCCTTTCCTTGTTTTTTCTTTCCTAGTTTTTCCTTGTTTTTCCTTTCCCTTTCCTTTCCTATCCTTTCCCTCCCCTCCCCTTCCCTCCCCTTCCCTTCCATTTCCCTTCCCTTCCCTCCTTTGCCTTCCCTTCCCTTCTTTTCCCTTTGCTCCTTTGCCTTCCCTTCCCTTCCCTTCCCTCCTTTGCCTTCCCTTCCCTTTCCTTCTTTCCCCTTCCCTCCTTTGCCTTCCCTTCCCTTTCCTTCTTTTCCCTTCCCTCCTTTGCCTTCCCTTCCCTTCTGTTCCCTTCCCTCCTTTGCCTTCCCTTCCCTTCTGTTCCCTTCCCTTCCCTCCTTTGCCTTCCCTTCCCTTCATTTCCCTTCCCTCCTTTGCATTCCCTTCCCTTCCCTCCCCTTCCTTTCCATTCCCTTCCCTCCCCTTATCTTCGTTTCCATTCCATTCCCTTCCCTTCTCTCCTTTGCCTTCCCTCCCCTTCCTTTCACTCTTTTGCTTTCCCTTCCCTTCCTTTCCCCTCCCTTCCCTCCCTTGCCTTCCCTCCCCTTCCTTTCACTCTTTTGCCTTCCCTTCCCTTTCCTTCCCTTCCTTTCCTTCCCCTTCCCTCCCCATTTCCTTCCCTTCCTTTCACTCCTTTGCCTTTCCTTCCCTTACAAATACAGAAGACAAGCCAGGCAAGGCAGGTGATATGCCCACCAAATCCCATGGCTGCAGGGATGGAGGCACCAAGGGGACTTCAGGATACGCATGCTCAGACCCCAGGTTATGACCACAGTAGTTGCTGGACAAGGGCTTCCAGCAGCACTCAATTCCAAAAGGGCAAATACTAATGGCTGGCAACTTTAGATGGTCTTTGCAGAAGAGAGGACATCTAGAGAGCAACCCAATGCGGGTACACCTCCAGTGCAAAGTTAATGCATCCCTGCAGGCCTTGTCTCCACGAAACCTGGGGGCCCTGCCTCATTAAGGGCATCAGAGCATCTTGGCAGCACTGAGGACCACGAGATGGGGCCCAGCTAACTCCTAGGGATCCAGAGGACACCCTGCCCTAGGCGGCCCTTTGCTCTTGGTGGACTTGGGAAGCGGCCGGAGCAGCGGTGATGGACGTCCCTGTGCCCTTGCAGGTGACCCCATGAACGCAGCCCTGCAGGTGACAGCGTTCGGTCTTGCTCTTCTCTCAACCCTCTTCCTGCTCCTGGCCACGTGCACTGACTGCTGGATGGTGAACGCTGACGACAGCTTGGAGGTGAGCAGAGCAACCGCTCTATGGGTAGCACCTGGGTGCCTTGACACCCATGGGTGACATCCCCACGTCTCCCCAGGCTTGGAAAGGGGACAAGGTGGGATAAACCCATTGTTTTTTTCCATGGGGCTTTGTGACTTTCTCCTGCTTCCAGGTGAGCCACAAATGCCGGGGGCTCTGGAGGGAGTGTGTCACCAACATGCAGGACGGGGTCAGGACCTGTGACCAGTATGACTCCATCCTGGCTGACCATCCGGGTAAGTGCCACGGCCTGGAGGCCTTCCTTTAAGTTCAGAGCTAAGAGTTTCCCCTCTTCCCTCTTCAAGAGGATCCTCATTGCAAAGGGCTCACCTCCACCAGTCGGTGATGCAGGACCAGGGCTTCTCCTGGCCTCCTGCTCCAGCAGCAGGGCTTTGTAGGCAGAAGTCCCCTTGCTCACAGCCGTGGTGTCACCCAGGCCACCTCTCCTACTTTTCACCCCTCTGTTCTCATTTGGTGTTTTAAACATCAACCTGGGGGTAAAACCAGTCTGGGCAGCAGCATCCCCTGCCCAAGCCTATACAAGGCGGTCTCGAGGCCGCATCCCGGTGCAGATTGGTGCACCTTAAGTTACTTGGGCTCTTGAGCTGGTCTAATAATGAGCTCACTAAGTCCTGTTGCAGGGTTGCTGGTGAGCTCCTTGCCTATGGCAATGGCAGACATGGGGTTGGTGAGTCCCACTGTAGCTATCTCCTATGGACACGGCCATGCAGAGCTGGGTCTAGCAGGGACACGGGGAGCAACCTGGAGCTGGGACACCAGTCCCTGTGACCATCCCTCAGTCTCCTGTGTTTTTCCCCTTGCTTACCCAGTGAAGATCGTGGTGACACGGACCCTGCTGATCACAGCAGACCTCCTGGCTGGCCTGGCTTTGGCCATGCTGCTCCTCGGGCTGGATTGCATCAAGTTCCTCAAGGAAGATCCCGGTGTCAAACTGAAGATGCGCTACGGGGCCAGCGGCATCCTCGGCGTTGGGAGTGCGTGGCTGGAGCGCTCGGGGGGGGGGCAAATGGACCTCGTGTCCCATGGGCACCCCTTCAGAGGGGTCTTGGGGAGCACGAGGGGGTTCTCAAGCAGCCCCCTTCCTCTCAGGCATCCTGGGTCTGGTGGGCTCCGTGTGGTACGCGGTGGATGTCTACGTGGAGAGGGCCATGCTGGTGTCGCACAACGTGTTCCTGGGAGTCCACTACGACTTCGGGTGGTCGTGCTGGCTGGGCATGGCTGGCTCCATGGGCTGTCTCGTAGCATCGGTGCTGCTGGCCTGCTGCCTCTGTGCCTGCACAGGTCAGTCTGCCCCATTCCATCCCATCCCACCCCATCCAGTAGCCTCCTGCCCTGCCCATGGGTGAAGGACCAGCTCAGGGGTGCAGCCAAACCAAGGGGAACCCCTTTGGTCCAGCCCATGCGCCCTGGCTGGGTCATGCCAAGGACCCCAGCTGGGTCCCGTAAGGGTACAGAGGAGGTGCAGAAATGCTCCTTCCACATCACTGGGACCTCAAGGTCCTGAGGAAGGTGCATTGGTGCCTACCCAAAGCAGTGGCTGTGATGCAGCTACATCACTGTGCCCAGTCAAAGCCTTGCGCTGGTGGCCACATGGATGTGGCCAGTGGAAACCTGGCATCACCATCACAGACATGGGGCAGGTGATGCCTCACCAGATGTTACCTCCAGCCCTCACGCTTGGTCCCTCTCTTGCCATGTCCCCAGCACTGCAGCACCCCAGGGTCCCTGCTATTGCCAACCATGCCATAACCCCACCTCTCTCCCAGCAGATCCCAGCAGCCCCCAGCAACCCCAGAGGACTCCCCAGCCCCGGGTCCGAACGGCCACGAGCAAGATGTACGCCATGGACTCCCGTGTGTGATGGGCAGCAGCACCTCCTGCTCCCAGCACCACTGGGGGATGCTCTCCCCCTCCAAGCTGACCACATTAAAGCACCATCTTCTCTACTGGGACATGTCTGCAGCTGGGTTAAGGCTCCAACGGCAGGAGTTGTGCGAGCTACAGCATCAGCAGCTGCAGGAGTCACCCACAGAGGAGGCTGTTTTCCATAGAGTCCCAGCCTGGTTTGGGTTGAAGGAACCTTAAAGCCCATCCATTTCCAACCCCTGCCACAGGCAGGGACCCCTTCCACTAGAGCAGCTTGCTCCAAGCCCCTGTGTCCAACCTGGCCTTGAACACTGCCAGGGATGGGGCAGCCACAGCTTCTCTGGGCACCCTGTGCCAGTGCCTCAGCACCCTCCCAGGGAAGAGCTTCTGCCTAAGAGCTCATCTCAGTCTCCCCTCTGGCAGGTTAAAGCCATTCCCCTTGGCCTGTCCCTACATCCCTTGTCCCAAGCCCCTCTCCAGCTTTCCTGCAGCCCCTTCAGGCACTGGAGCTGCTCTCAGGTCTCCCCTTCAGGAGCCTTCTCTTCTCCAGGCTGCCCCAGCCCAGCTCTCTCAGCCTGGCTCCAGAGCAGAGCTGCTCCAGCCCTCGCAGCATCTCCATGGCCTCCTCTGGCCTCGCTCCAGCAGCTCCACGTCCCTCTTGTGCTGCTGCCCCAGAGCTGGATCAGGGCTGCAGGGGGGTCTCCCCAGAGCACAGCAGAGGGGCAGGATCCCCTCCCTGAGCTGCTGCTCACACTCTGGGGGTGCAGCCCAGCACACGGGGGGGTTCTGGGCTCAAGCGCTCACTGAAGCCAGGTCATGGGGAGCCTCTCATTGACCACCACCCCCAGGTCCATCCCAGGCTCCTGTTGTTCCCCCACTTCCAGACAGGTTTCATGCAAACAAACCCCAGAAACGTGCTGCTTTAAGGAAAGATGTCCCCGGATTCCCTGGGGATGCCTCTGGGACACAGAAGCCAATGGAGCTCTTCCCATCCCTCCAAAACTCAGCCCGTGCTCTGGAGGCATTCAGTGGAAAGCCAGCTCTGCACAGAGCAACACTGACTCCACGTGGCCCTGGGTCAGGCAGGCACCAGCGCTGCTGCAAACACCCCTGAGCTCAAGGGTTTGAGAGCTGGGAAGGGCAAAGAGCCCAGAGCAGTTGGGAAAGGGGTTGGGCACTGGGGGAACGCTGCAGGGGATCAAGCTGAAGCCCATTGGAGCTGCTCTACCACCGAAGTTGGGTTTTATGGCCACACGGAAAGGGAATTCTGTTTTCTACATGAACTATAAACCCTCACTTGCAAAACACTGCAAAAATCAAGCCAGAGCCCCCAAACCCCCCCCAACCAGCCCCCAATTGCTGATTTTGTCCTTATTCCCCTACTTCTCACCTCGAGGTTAGCACAGAGAAGCTGTGGCACCGCAGGGAAGCAGCTTTGTGACTTCAAGAACAAGCCCTCAGCTGGACCAGGGCCCTGCAATGAAGGGGGGCAGAGGAGACCCACAGCAGTGCTGCTGTGGCCTGGGCTTGCTGCACAACACTGGTACCTCCAATCCAACAGCTCAGGGACCTGGAGAAAAGGATGCGGTCACTAAAGCTGTGTGATGGGGATGAAGAACATGACCGAGAGCTGGCTGGGAATGGCAGGGTCTGGTCCAAAGGATCGGCACGGTGCAGGCAGAAGGGGGCCGGAAGGTTTTTAAGTCACAAAATCCCAGCCTGGTTTGGGCTGGAAGGGACCTTAAAGCTTCTCCAGCTCCAACCCCTGCCACAGGCAGGGACCCCTTCCACTGGAGCAGCTTGCTCCAAGCCCCTGTGTCCAACCTGCCCTTGAGCACTGCCAGGGATGGGGCAGCCACAGCTTCTCTGGGCACCCTGTGCCAGCACCTCAGCACCCTCCCAGGGAAGAGCTTCTGCCTAAGAGCTCATCTCAGTCTCCCCTCTGGCAGGTTAAAGCCATTCCCCTTGGCCTGTCCCTACATCCCTTGTCCCAAGCCCCTCTCCAGCTTTCCTGCAGCCCCTTCAGGCACTGGAGCTGCTCTAAGGTCTCCCCTTGGCACCCCCCTCACCACTGGGAGCTCCTCCACAGCCCTCCTGTTCTTACCAGCAGCTTCCAGCTGGTGTTGAGGAGCCGTGGGGCTGGGCAAGGCTGAGCCAGCAGTGACCAGAAGCAGCAGCCCTGGCATTGGTGGGGCAGCCCCAGAGGCATTCCGCAGTGAGGCACAGCTCTGCTTTGTGCTCCATCACCACCAGTGTGAGCAGGCACCAGGGCTGGACCCCCTGCACCGACACCAAACCCCTTCCCACCCAGCACCTCAACTACTTTGTAATGATTTTTGTGTTTCACCCCTCAGCCTGTGTGCTCAAGAACTAAAGCAGTCCTTTCCCATCCCCAAGACCCTTTATGAACACTCAAACCCTGTCACAGGAACGAGGGTTTTAAAAGGACCATGTGCACCAGGTAATTCTTTAAGACCTTTATTAACAGATGCTTGCAGTTTGACTTGAAAAAATCAGGTGTATATTTCATACAAATTAAAAATGAGGTTCTTAAAAATCTCAACTTGACCAGATATGAAACAATTTAAAAACCTTTAAAGGTATATTGAGAAAAAACAGACTTTTAAAAAACGTGTTTATCGTTTCCAAAAGGAGACTTCTTTAGGTAAAAATAATAAAAACCCCATGCTGCATAGACAATGCAGATAGTTCGAGTAATCTGGTCAACAGCAAAAAGCAAGCACTTAAGGTCTTCAGTTCCAATTCTTTTGTTCATTTCTTATTGCTGGAATTTCATTTTCTTTTCTTCTTCATTTCTTAAGTCTTTTCTTTGATGACTAAACTGAAAAAGAGGAAGAAAAGGACCATCAGACCCGTGCCAGGGGTCACACGGATGCTCTGTGCACCAAGACTGACCTGGGAGCACAAATCCTCACTGAGCCACCTCTCACACACAAGAAACCCTCCCCAGCTGCACCTGCTGCCCTCAGCCCACCCCAGGGACCAAACCAGGTGCCTTCCACACAAAACCAACCCAAAAGGACTCCAGAAAGGGAAGAGGAACCCCATCACACCCATCCCCTCCAGGGCAGAGCTGCTCCCATTGGGTTCTGCACACACACAGAGCTCAGGCAGGAGGACAGGGAGTATCTTGGGAAGGTGATGGACGAGCAGATCTACCCACACTTAACAGAGGCAGCCGTGGTAAGCCACTGCCCAGACCACAGGAACCACAACCAGCCAATACTATCAATAGACAGAGCAACCAAAAGGTCCCTGTGGCGTTTCTCTGAAGCTTGTGACATGAAGAACGCGTTCACCATGAAGATGGACACCAGGATCAAACCAGGGCTCGTGCCCAGCACACAGAGAACACCACAGCAAGGCCTGAACCCGTTATGTGAATCCATCAGCACTCCAGCCCCTCAGCCCTCACAGAGAGGTCTGTGGCTGCTGGCACCAAACTCTGCCCAGCTCCTGCACTCCCTGCTCATCCCACTAACAGGATGGGTCCCACCTGAACCCAGATGTGCCCTTCTGTTTGCCAGCCCTCCGAGGCAACAAGTGAGGAGTGAGACACAACAGAGTGGGATATGAACACTGGCGAGAGGAAATACAGAGAAAGAGAGAAGAAGAACAGGCAAGGAAGGTGCCAGAACAAGTAGAAAGAGTCCAAGCAACGAAAACATTCCCAAATCAGCAGAGCTGCCCACCAGAAGACAGCTCAGACCATCAGAGCAAGAGTCGGATCATAACCCATCTACCTCACAACTAAATCCACCTTTCACATCCGTGCCATCCTCCCCAGTGGCAAAGCCACCGGTACCACAGCGCTTCAAACAGGTGCCCCGCACACTCCACAGGAAAGTGGCCAATCTCTGCCAGGTTTTCCAGCACTTCCTTGGGAACTTCGCATCAGCTTCCTACCCACCAGTGCTGACAGTACTTAACACCACCTGCTTCACCTTGGGGACTGAGTGACGAGGGCTCAGGCACCCACAGGACAGAATAAACCCCTGTCCCCACCTCTCCCGGCTTTGCCACTCCACCAGCCCCACCTCAGCGACTATTTCTGGGTGGACAACAGCAGCTCCGAGCATCACCTACTGAGCCACAGCCAACAGGAGCTACCCCACGGCAGTGACTCCAGCAACACCCATTAAAGCTTGCTCACCGAGGCCTCCCCACCTCATGAGGATCGGCCCCGCAGCCCAGCTCTGCAGCGCCAAGAGCAGGGGAGGGCCGGTGATGCTCCGGAGGCACCGCACGCACACGCACCCGGATGATGGTAGAGGTGGAAAGCCGGTGTTTACTCAGCCCCGCCCTGCTCGGCCTCGGGAGCGGACGTGTTCTCAGCTGGTGGTTCGGCTGCCTTCGTCTCTTTGCCATCTTGTGGTTTAGGGTTCTCCGGGCGTCTGCGTCGGTAGTTGAAGTTACGGCGGTACCGACGTTGAGGTGGTTGCTGACTTTGGGTCTCGTCCCCTTGGTTCTCTTTATCTTCTTCGTTCCCGTCCTCTCTAGGCTGTCTCTGACGAGGAGGACCCCTGAAAGTCAAGCTAGGCTTTAACAGTGCAGCATCTGACCATCGCCATGTTCTGTCTCTGTTGCTAAAAGGGAGGGTTAAAAGGGAAGAAGTTGATCTGCAGCATACCTGCGAAATCGTGGTCTATAACCTCGGTACATGTTCTGCCTGACTGGTCTGCCTTGTTCTCCTGCACCCTGGTTGTCAGCACCCTGGAAGACATTCAGCAACAAACCACCTTAGCCACCTGCAAAAGTGTGTTAAGGCTACAACTAGTCAAGCTGTGAGGAAGAGGTAGATATAGATGAGACCCTTGGTGACATGGGTTAGTGGTGGCCTTGGCAGCGCTGGGGAACTGTTGGGCTTGATGATCTTAAAGGTCTTTTCCAGCCCTTTTGATTCTATGGCTGTGAGAGGGCTGGCAAGTTAAGCCCAAGGCACATAAGGTGGGCAGCGGTCCTAGGGCACAGCAGCACACATAGAACGAATCACAGAACAGTTTGGGTGAGAAAGGACCTTAAGATGCTCTAGCTCCAA